AATCATCATCCATTGCAGGTTGGGGCATATGATCAAGAACCAATGGTATTGAAGGAAGAAGTCGAAACTGCACTGAAGGAATTGGCAGAGAACAAGGCTCCAGGAATTGACAGAATGCCCATTGAGATGTTTCAACAAATGGATGCTGCGCTGGAGGCACTCACTCGGTTATGCCAAGAGATTTGGAAGACAGCTGCCTGGCCAACTGACTGGAAGAGAGCCATATCTGTATCCATTCCAAAGATCTCATGGAATGTGGAAATTATCAAACAATATCATTAATATCACACACAAGTAAAATCTTACGAAGATAATTAAAAAATGGTTACAGTAGTATATTGTCAGAGAACTTCCAGAAATACAATCTGGATTCAGAAGAGGACGTGGAACGAGGGATATCATTGCTGCTGTCAGATGGATCTTGGCTCAAAACAAAGAATACCAGAAAAATGTTTATCTGTGTTTTACTGAGTTTGCAAAAAGCATTTGATTGTGTGGATCATAATAAATTGTGGATAACATTGAGAAGAATGGGAATTCCAGAATACTTAATTGTACTCATGAGGAACCTGTACATAGACCAGGAGGCTCTTGTTCAAATGGAACAAGGGGACACAACATGGTTAAAATCAATAAGGGAGTGCATCAGAGTTGTGTCCTTTCACCATACTTATTCAATCTATATGCTGTGCAAATAATTTGAGAAGGTGGACTATATGAAGAAGAATGTGGCATCAAAATTAGAGGAAGAATCATTAACAACCTGCGATACGCTGATGACACAACTTTGCTGAAAGTGAGGATGACTTAAAGCACTTACTGATGAAGATTGAAGATGGATTACATCTCAATATAAAGAAAACAAAAATCCTCACAACTGGACCTATAAGCAGCATCACAATAAATGGAGAAAATATTGAAGTTGTCAAAGACTTCACATTGCTTGGTTCTACAATCGATGCCAATGGAAGCAGTAGTCAGGACATCAGACAACATATAGCACTGGGCAAGTTGGCTGCAAAAGACCTCTTTCAAGTGCTGAAGAGTAAAGACGTCTCCTTGGGGGCTAGGGTGCGCCTGACATAGGCCATGATATTTTCAGTTACCTTATATGCATGTGAGAGCTGGACAATGAATAAGGAAGACCAAAGAGTTAACGCTTCCGAGTTGTGGTGCTGGTGAAGAATGCTGAAAGTACCATGGACTGCTAAAAGAACTAACAAATCTGTCCTGGAGGAAGTGTAGCTAGAATGCTTCTTGGAAGAGAGAATGGCCAGACTTCGTCTCACCTACTTTGGTCATGTTATCAGAAGGAACCATTCCCTGGAGAAGGATGTCATGCTTGGTAAGGTGGAGGGTCTATGGAAGAGGGCAAGGCCTTCAACTAGATGGATTGACACAGTGGCTGAAGCAATGGGCTCAAGTATAGCAAGGATTGTGGAACTGGCGTAGGACCGGGCAGTGTTTTGTTATGCTGTGCATAGGGTCACTATGAGTCAGAGATGACTCGATGGCACCTAACAATAACAACCATGTGTGTGAAATGAACTAATGTAAACCAGCTCTGGTGGTGTAGTGCCTGAGGCATTTGACCGCTAACCAGAAGGCTGGCGGTTCAAACCCACCAGATACTCCTCAGAAGGAAGACTTGGCAATCTACTTCCATAGACATACTGCCTCAGAAACCCAAGTCGCTATGAGTCAAATTGACTCGATGGCAGTGAGTTTGGGTTTTGTTTTTTTTAGCCTGATGACGATCCTGGTTTCCCCTTTTCTAAGGTGAGCAAAAGGAGCTCTGGTGGTGCTGTGCCTAAGGAAGATGGGGCAATCTACTTCCGTAAAGATTTACTACCTTGGCGGTGGGTTTTGTTTTGTTTTGTTTTTTTAAGGTAAGGAAACTGAAGCTCAGAGAGGGATAAATACCTTACCAAGGTCACACTGCTAATAAGCCACAGAGCTGGGACCAGAACTCACATCCTTCATTATCACTAAGTGTCACCCCTCAAACCGGCAGTGGGTAGGATTCACCTGCAAATTGCTACTGTGCTGCTGGGTGGAGAGCGAGGCAGTGAGCAGCCAGGCAGAGCAGAGGAGCCCGCCTTCGCTTCCAGGAGGGCCCGCCACGGTCGGGGTGAGTGCCAGCAGCTTCTCCAGAAGCTCCATCAGGGTCGTGCTGCTCAGGAGCACAGCAGCGGCTGCGGGGGTGGGCGGGGCCGGGACCACAGAGTCACACAGGGGCCCAGCTGGGGCCCCTCTGTGGTTCTTAGCACCTGTGGGGGCTTCATACACCTGTGCTAAGTGAACAAAAGTGTCAGCTTGAAGCATTAAGGGCCCCAGGTCATTGCAGGACCAGGTTATCAGGACCAGAAGGAACCTTCGGATCACCTGGCCCAGCCACTCCTCTCCATTTATTCCTTCAAAAGGAAAAACTGAGGGTGGAGAGTTCATTCATGCTGGGATCTCGGGATCTGTGTGATCAAGGAGCATGACTGCATGAGACTCCCAAGTCCTGACATTCTGAGATGTCAATGACCCTGAAGGAAAGGCTTTGCCCTTGTCATATCACTCGCCCATCCAGTGTCCTGCTTATTCTTTACATTGGTCCCAGGAGGGGGCATCGTTGTCTCCCTTTCTCAGATGAGGAAAAGGAGGCTAGAGACACCAGTCAGGTCAGGCAGCTGACAGGAGGAGAGGATGGGGCCAACTCCTGGCTGTGCTCTGCTCAGGACATCAGTCGGGGTCTGCACAGACACTGCCCGACCCTCTCCCTCGCTAACCCAGTGTGGGCCCAGCACCTCTTTGCCGACTGTCTGGCGTGGTCTGATGAAGGCTCCAGTACAGGAAGTTGAAGGAGGGCTGTAGGATGTCCACGTCCATGGGGCTGCATTTCCCACACAGCTTGCTCACTGCAAGAGACAGAGCCCCAACACCTTTGCACACAGGCCTCTGTGCCTTTAACATGCACCAGCCTTCATGCTTCTCACATATAATGGCTGATTTCAGATGCCAGTCTTGGGATCAAGCACAAACTAAGTGTCCCTGATATTATAGCCAATGGCAATCAGTGTAATCCATCTGCAAACATCAGGTAAACTGCCCACAGCTGCTTGTGTGCATCAGCCAGCCAAATGGACTGAACCAGTTTAGGTGTCAAACATCAGCCCATCACTGCTTTGTCCTGGCAGAATCCAGGGGCAAGGGTTTGCAGAGGTCATGTAGGTCAGCCTGTACCCTTAGCATGAGTCCTTGCTACGCCATGAGATGAACCAGCCTCTGAATCTGTCCAGCAATGGCCTCTCACTAGTTCCCAAGGGGCACTGACGACCTGGGTGCAGTTCCCCACTGGCCATGTTTTCTCTCACATCACCTCCATTTGGCTGACTCCTTAACTCCTATTCAACAGCTCCAGCACAGCTCACAGTCCACCCCGAGTCCCCAGGAAGCCTTCCTCAATCTCTTCAGGCCGGATGAGATATCCTTGTGTTCTACAGGCCTCATTAGAGCAGATTACACTGTATGGGGGGCATCTGCAGAACTGTCTGCCCAGCGCATCCCTTTCCTCCTGGGAACTGTCCCCCACCCCCTCATAATGATCCCTTCCCAGGTCTCCACTCACTCTTCTGGCAGCCACAGCGCACCGTGACCCCTCATTGGCTGCAGTCAGGCAGAACAGGCAGGGCTTTTCCCCACCGTCACTCACTCAATGTCAGTCCTGAAGGCTTCTGTGAAGATTCCAGGGACACTCACGTGTGGCTTTCAGCCCATTACTCTGCCCTGTGGAGACCCTTCTAAAGGCTGATCCCATCAAGTGCAGCCCTAGACTCCCTGCCAGTGTGGTGGCACCGCTGATCTGACAGACGCACTGTGAGAACCTGCACAGGCTGAGGCAGGACTGGCAGCCACCCCCAGAGGCCCCTTCTGAGCCTGACACTGATCTTCTCATGAGCAGTGAGAAGAGAAAGCCCGTCCTCATCGTTGTGGCTGGAGGGTCTGAGAGAGATGGGGCTCACATCATCCTCTTCAATCCAACCTCCCGTCCACCTTCCTAAGGGTGATGGCCAGTAAGTGGTGATGCATTCAAGACCCTGAAAGGGCTGGCTGAGGTTTGGGGCGGGGGTGGAAAGGGGCCTGGAGACCTTGCTAGAGATCATCAGATCTGAGTCTGCTGTGAGAGGGGGTGGCGAGCTGAATCCATGCCAGGACAAAGGCATCCGCTGAAGGCCTGCTGTGTGCCAGGCACTGGGCCTGGCATGCACCATCCACAGGCTCAGCTCTTGCTTAGGCCAACCCCATCAGGTAAATACATCGAGCTAACCTCTGAGGAGCCTAAGGCCTGGGGCACTGCTAGTGACTAAGCCCGGATTCAAGCTCAAGCCATCCTAAGCCCAAAGCATGAGCTTGCCACACACTGACATCCTGCCTCTCCATCACTTCCAGAGAACAAACCACAGATGGACCCACTAGCTTCTGCCAGAGGCGTGCGGGACAGGAGAGGAGCACCAACAGCCGCGCCGCGTGAGCACCCCACACGCCGCCCCCGGGCTCGAGCGCTGTGCCGAGCAGCCGACGCACCCTGGTGGAGGAGCTTCACGGCCACGCTGTCCAGCTCCCGCTCTGAGCGGCTTCTCAGCTGCACCAAGGAGAGGAGGCTCAGCAGCAAGTGCAGGTTCCCCGAGGCTGCGAACAACAAGGAGCGCTGCTCAGGAGGCAGACGGACACCCCACCCAGCTCCACACGGACCTTAGGAGGGGGCACCAGAGGCTCTGTTTTCCCCAAGTCAGGTGGCTTACTGGGATTACCCCTCCTTCCTGACATTTTCTTCTTCACTGGGTTCAGGGGCAACTGACGTACTGAGTACCAACACTGGATTGAGTAGCAGAATTCATGGTTTTACCTAATCCCTTTAACAACCATGTGAAGCATATTTCCTAGTCTGCAGTTAAGAAAATTGAGGCTCAGAGAGGCTGAGTGACTTCTCCAAGGTCCCATAGCCAATAAGTGGCAGGGCAAGGACTTGAACCCAAGTCTGAATCCAATGTCCTTGGTCGTTCCATTATGCAAGCCCTGTTAACCTCATAGTTCTTAGGCAGCCTTCTCCCTGAAACATCTCTTGTCCTTCCTTGCAAAGGAAGGGTCGGCTCCTCCAAACACCCTTACATCTGCCTCCAGACTCCAGCCCTAGGTTAGAGTGGGACCAGGGCACACCTACCACACCTCCCACTCTCTCCTACTTTGGAATTTTCATTTAATAATTCAGCCTCTCTAAAAATAGTAAAAGAAAAACCAATTCCAACGTTCAGTCTTTTCACTGAATTGAACTGTTCCAAACTTCAAGCTTTCTTGGCCCCAGGGAGTCCCCCCAGGTTTGGAAACTACCCCCCTGACTCTCACTGGGAGCTTCCAACACGTCACAGACGCTCGCATCCCCGGCCTGCTGGCTGCTGTGCCTCCCCTGCCTCCTCGTATTTCCCGCCTCCTTCTCCCCATCTGGGGCTGCCACCCTGCCTCCTCATAGTTCCCACCTTCTTCTCCACAGCTGGGGCTGCCACTCTTGTGACAAACAGCTTGGACTGAGCAGAGTACATGCTGTGCAGGGTGGGGATGTCACACATACCCAGCCTTGTTAAACACAGTAATAGACATTAACATAATTAAACACACACACACACACACATATTCCCCAAGCCTGTTGGGCACCCACTCTTTCCAGGACAGAAAGGAGGCGATGTTTGCCTGGCCTGACTGTTCTTCTGCTGACGGAAGTCCTGATTCTCTCCCCTAAAGCAGAACTAACCAAGACAGAGATACCCACTCTTGACTGTCCAGCCAGACCAGGACCTTCTGGTCAAAATGTGCCCTCAGGACCTGCAGACTGACCTCCTGAGGTAGAGGGCCCATTCTCCACCAGCAGATGCTGCAGAAGTAGCAGGAAGTGGCCTTGGATAAGACCACCCACGTGGACATCTTCATTTCTCCTCAGAAAGGTCTTCAAGACGATCAACACCTTACGGGCTGTGTCCACTGGGCTGGAGTAGATGAGATCCTGAGTAAGCAAGAAGGAGACCACAGATCAGAGGGTATCCTGGTCAGGGGACTGTAAAGAGGAAAGGGGGAGGGGAGGCACAGGAGGATGGTGTCACAGAACCCGAGGAGGGAAGCGCTCACTGACTCAGCACCTATTACGCACCAGAAGTTCTGCTAGGTGCACTGACTTCTCATAACACGCCCGTAGAACAGGCAGAAACTAAGTCCATCCTCAACAGGAACAAATGGAGGCTTGGCGAGATGATGTCACTTGCCAAAGGTCACATTGGCCAGCCAGTGACACAGACAGGATTTGAACCAGCTCTCCTAACTCTAAGCCCAAAACTCTTTCTACTCTTCATGCTGCCTCCCTCTTGCAAACAGAAGTAGTATGGGCTAGAAGAGTTGTTTTCAGGAGACCTGAGGGGACCTGAGTGTGCTGTCAGGGAGAAGAGGCAGAGAGGGGGGATGCAGACATCTGAGGGGAGGAAGAGGATGGGCAAGGACTGATTCAGGGCACTGAAAGGGAAGTGAAGACTGGGTCAGGCCATTCTCCAACATGGCATCTGGCTCTGCCTCAACCCCTGGGTTTAGGAGACGGGAAAGGGTATTGCTTTATATCTTGCCTTCAGAGTGGTTTTAGTGAGTTTATGTTAAAGGCAAAGGCAGCCATAAGCCACACTAGAGGTCACCCTACTGACAGCTGCTGGCCATCTACCAGCTCAAACAACCCAATTGGACTAGACAGGCTAATGTGCTGGACCAGTTAGGGCTGGGTGCTATGGATTCAAGGTCACCCACAGCCTCACTCTCCAGGGAAGGCAGCTAGACATACACAGAGAACCAGTGACAGGGCACATGGCTGGGCACATCCAGATGTGCTAATGGCTGAGTGGATGGGTAGGTGGGGCATCTGGGCAAGGCTCATCACAAACCTCCACAACTGCTAGAGAAACAACTGTAATATCAACAACCACCTCCTGGTCAGGGCCCCATAATGTCAGGTATCATGGTGTTTATACAATAGCTGTGTGTCAATATGCTTGACTGCTAACCCAAAGGTTGGAAGTTCAAGTTCAAGTCCACTTGGAGGTGCCTTAGAATAAAGGACTGATGATCTAGTTCCAAAAAAATCAGACACTGAAAACCCTCTGGAGTAGAGTTTTAATCTGACCCAGAGTCAGAGTCTACTTCACAGCTGGTCTTTGGTTTGATTTTGATTTGTTTACATGCTATCTAGATCTTCCTAATAACTCTTCCAGGTAGGTGTCATCCTCATTCGTCCAGCGAGGAAACTGAGGAAAGGTGTTGCCTATCAAGAAAGTAGTGGGGTTGTAAATTCCACTAGACTGAAAGTGTATCAAGGGCAAGGATCAGGTTTGCCTCATTTTTGTCACCTTGTAGGGACTCGGAAACCATCTCTGGAAGAAGATCACAGAAGAGAAGTACTGGAATCTCCAATCACATCTCTCCACCCTTTCACTTCACAGAGTGTAAGGCTGGTGCCCAGAGAGGGGCACCATTTGCCCAAGGTCATAGGGCCCAAGGTCAAATCGATTTCCTTGTCCAGCACATCACTGCCCCACTGCCAGAGAGCTGGTCCCTCAAAATCTGAGTAATCTGAGTCAGTGGATGTTAAAGGTTCAAAGGGAAGGAGGCTGTGATGGTCAGTTTTATGTGTCAACTGAGCAGTTATTCAAGCCAACACTAATCTACTTTTTCTGTGAAGGCATTTTGTAGATGCGGTTAACATCTACAATCAGTTGACTTAAAGTAAAGGAGATTCACTTTGATAATGTGGGTGGGCCTCGTTCAATCAGTTCAAAGTCCTTGAGGGCATTACTGAGGTTTCCTAGAGAAGAAGAAATTCTGCCTCAAGTCTGCAGCATCAGCTTCTGCCCAAGTTTCCTGCCTACCAGCCTCCCTACAAATTTCACACTTGCCAGCCCCCACAACTGTGTAAGCCAATTCTGTGTGTGTGTGTGTGTGAAAGATATGTACACACACACACTTATGTTTATGTAGATATCTCCTATTGACCAATAAGAAAGCTAAGATGGCCTCGGGGGGTTGTGATGAATGCTGGGGGAGGTGTGCACCCCACTGCATGGGTCAGTGTGAAGGCTTTTGGTAGAGCCAAGTGGACCTCACTCTGCAGTCTCTGCTGCCCAGAGTTGTCCAGAACTCTCTGGGACTGGATCAAGCGGGATGACGTGGCCAAGGAGGGAACAAAATAGCTTCTGTGACATTACTGTTTCTCACATTTCAACAACCCACAGAAAGACCACCCATTGATAAGAGTGGCAATTAACAGCTTTGTTTTCAGCTGTTAATTACCCATATCAAAACCAGAAATTGGTACCAACACATATTTTTAGACTCTTTCCCCTCCCATGGCTAAAAGCTAGGGAGAAATGGCAGGAATTATATATTTGAACAGACAAGAAAGTTGTTCCTTGCTGTTCTTTTTCACCATTGATGTTTCTAGGATCTAATTTAGTGGAAGACTCATGAACTTTGGGTTCTAGTCATGATATGACCCTATTAGCAACATGACCTTGGGCCATCCAATCAGCCTCTCTGAGATTAACTGTCTTTATCTGGTTTAGAGTCAAGAGGCAATGAATGGTGGTGTGGATGGATAGATCACTTTTATATATCCTTTCTAGCCATGAATGATTGGATGGTGGGACTATGCAAATAAGGTCCTTGTGGTCCACCAAGGGGACTGGACAGTTTGCTAATAATGCAAATAAGGTGCATGGAACACTAGTGAGGAGATTGGTCAGTTTTGCCATCCTGCTAGTCTTAAAATGACCCACACCAGAGGCAGAAAGGGGAGACATGACTACCACCAAGAAGAAGAGAGATGAGAGCAGAGTATATGTGTGGACTCAGGGTCCCTGTGCTAGAAACCTACTAGACCCAGGAGATAGAGAGCTGTAACACCAGAGATGGCAAGAGATGACATGGAGTAGTGGCAATGAAATAGTAGCAGCAGAACCACAAGACTGGCAGGAGATGGTGTGGTGGGCTAAAGAGCTTTGTAACACTTACTAGAGCACAGCAGAGGCCAGGCTGGCCAAAGAGGCCAGAGGGGCCAAGAGGCCAAAAGCTGAGGGCCAAAAAGAGACTTGCCTTTTTGAGAAGACAGCTGTCTGAATAGAAGAACTATATCCTGAGTCATTTCTGATCCTGAATTGTAACTTGTTACTTCTCTAATAAACTCCACAATTGTATTGTCTATGAGTTCTGTGTGGCCACTGCAACAAATTATTTAACCCAGAAGAGCAGTAGAATGTGCATGGGGAATGATGGCTGGTGTCAAAAACAGTACAAAAGTTGGAGGAAGGAGGAATGTCTGACCTCTGCTTCAAAGGAATCGCCCTTAGACTGATGTTATGCTGTGCACAGCATGTGAAGTTAGAGGTCAGATGCCTTCATTGCACCATTTTTATCATGGCCTACTCTGAAGAATATCAAGAGAGTTCCTACATATTACCTCATTTATTCTCACCTTCTCCCCATTTTACAGGTGAGAATCATAAGTTTAGAGACGTGTCCCACCCTCAGAGCAGCTCCTTCCTGTTGAGCTCTAGGCCTGGCAAAGCACAAAGCTCCTTCTACCCCTCTGCTTCCAGGAAGGAGAGGTGATAGGGATGGGGCACAATCAAGGACAAGGATTGTCACGGACTCTATGGATTTGATCTCTTTAGATTCACTTTCCCTTTGGCTTGCTGATTTTGAGTATACCAATGTGCTTTGAAACTAGTGGCACAGGACAGCATTCAACTACAGAGGGGCCTCCACTCTGGAAAGACTCAGTAGAGAAAGGGAGTTTGAGAAAGAAGGACAACGACCTCAGTTTTTGACAAGCTGATGTTGAGAAACTTGTAGAAACTAGATAGAAATGTCAGATAGATGGTTGGCTTTATAAGCCTGGGGCTCAGAAAAGAAGGTTAAAGATGAGGGTAGAGATTTGAAAGTCACTGGCATATAGGCAGGAAGCAATCAAAGCCAGGGGAATAAATGAGACAATCCAGGGAGAACAATCAATTGATAAAAGAGCCTAGGCCCCTGGAGAGAACAATCATGGGAGAAGGAAGGGCTGCTTATGCACAGGGAGATAGCTCAGGGTGCAGAAGAGTATGAAGGGATGGACACTGGGAG